TACGTCCTGAGGACCTCGCTGCCACCGTCCAAGCGTGCTTGGCCCCGGCAGATGAACCTCAGGATTAAAGGGTGGGCTCAGTTCCGCGCACACTGTGTCTCACCTAAAAAATCCAATGCGCAGGCTGGAAGGTGGAAAGACCTTCCCCGGTTCTTCGTTCGCGAAGAGACTGGCCATTCATTCATTCTTTCTGTGAAAGCAAAAAGGAAGATGAAAGCTCCTTTCAAAAAAGCTTTGAATGAAACGATCTTCAGCTTTTCTTATTAGACTTCCAGCATTGCCAGAGGGGATGTGCTTTTGAAGTCTCCTGTGTACCCTTAGAGGCAAATGTAGTTCCCAGATAAACTGTGCTAAAAATGTATTTCAAAGCCACTTACTCAGTCTCTTATGCTTTGCCCTAACAACAAATATAAATACATTATTTTGTAGCTTTTGTTGCCATAGAAACCCCATACTGCCAGTAATAATAATTTTATATTCTTAAGAGTTAAACAACTTTTGTCCAGGCAGGCATTAATATCAGTAATCAGTTTGTCATGCAAGCAAATTGCAGTGTGTCATACCTGTAAACTCCTCTGTGGGAATAGCTCATTATTTTGAACATGTATTTCAGAACAATGTGTGTGTGGATTTTATTTGTTTCAGTTTGTTGGTCGTGGTTTTCTTTCTTTATCAGTTTGCAGCAAAAAAGTGAATGTAATGGGCTTTTCTAGCAGGTAGTTAAGATATCCAGAAATAAATCCCTTACTATTTGGCAAATAAATAACTTTTGCAGCCACATATACATGACATCGTGTCTCCCAATATATTTCAGCTATTTAAACTTATGAATAGGTGCTAAAACGTTATTTCCTCCAAGAGGCAAGTCTAGTGCATTTGACAGACAGTTGAGAGAATCAACTCAAATGAAGGGGGAGTTTTGTGGAAGTGTTTCTGCTTGGCCTTTGGTTTGGTTTGTTTCTGCTGAGTGAGGTGTTGATTGCCATTCTGTATTTTCAAGGGATTTAATGCCACACTGCTTTTTAGAAAAAAAATAGGGAACATAGGGGTCTGTAAGAAATCAATACCTTAAATATAGTCCTTGGCAGTTTGAAAGTTGATTGATGAGGACCGGGACAATATATCCAGCTCTTTATTTCTCATCTGAGGTGAAATGTTGTTCATAAAGACTGAAGTCTCAACAGGCACCATTGTGCAGAAATAAATGTGCAGGATTATTTAAGATGGAAACATGTTAAGCTTCACTTTCTTTGGTTGACCTTGCTCATTTTTCTCCAGCTTGCTGTGCAAGTAGCTTGAAGACATGAGTGGTGGGGTGATGTCTTAACCAGCTGGCATCAGAATGTGAAAATGCTCTTGAAAAAGCTTCACAATTGTTACTTTTAAAATATATATAATGTCTTGTGGTGTATGCTTGAGGTAGGTGGCCCAGTGCTCTGTTTTCCACCACCAAACTTCCAGGGAAGAGCAGGAAATTAAACAAGCATCTTAGCAGTCAGAAAGGTTTGCACTGTTATAGAACTCAGGTGCTTAAAAAACTGTCACTGGAGATCCCAAGTGTAGGATGCTGAGCCTTTTAGTGACACTTTCATCAGGATTAGTGCGTGGAGCTTGTGATTACCAGCTATCAGAAGGAATATAATTCAGTTTCTTTCAACAGCTTGTTTAAACTAGGAA